GACACAAGCATGCGTCCGGACACAAGCATACGTCCGGACACAAGCATGCGACCGGACACAAGCATGCGACCGGACACAAGCATGCGTCCGGACTCAAGCATGCGACCAGACACAAGCATGCGTCCGGACACAAGCATGCGTCCGGACACAAGCATGCGTCCGGACACAAGCATGCGTCCGGACACAAGCATGCGTCCGGACACAAGCATGCGTCCGGACACAAGCATGCGACCGGACACAAGCATGCGTCCGGACACAAGCATGCGTCCGGACACAAGCATGCGACCGGACACAAGCATGCGTCCGGACTCAAGCATGCGTCCGGACTCAAGCATGCGACCGGACACAAGCATGCGTCCGGACACAAGCATGCGTCCGGACACAAGCATGCGACCGGACACAAGCATGCGTCTGGACACAAGCACGCGTCCGGACTCAAGCATGCGTCCGGACACAAGCATGCGACCGGACTCAAGCATGCGTCTGGACACAAGCATGCGTCCGGACACAAGCATACGTCCGGACACAAGCATGCGACCGGACACAAGCATGCGACCGGACACAAGCATGCGTCCGGACTCAAGCATGCGACCGGACACAAGCATGCGTCCGGACACAAGCATGCGTCCGGACTCAAGCATGCGACCGGACACAAGCATGCGTCCGGACACAAGCATGCGTCCGGACACAAGCATGCGACCGGACACAAGCATGCGTCTGGACACAAGAATGCGTCCGGACTCAAGCATGCGTCCGGACACAAGCATGCGACCGGACTCAAGCATGCGTCTGGACACAAGCATGCGTCCGGACACAAGCATACGTCCGGACACAAGCATGCGACCGGACACAAGCATGCGACCGGACACAAGCATGCGTCCGGACTCAAGCATGCGACCGGACACAAGCATGCGTCCGGACACAAGCATGCGTCCGGACACAAGCATGCGTCCGGACACAAGCATGCGTCCGGACACAAGCATGCGTCCGGACACAAGCATGCGTCCGGACACAAGCATGCGACCGGACACAAGCATGCGTCCGGACACAAGCATGCGACCGGACACAAGCATGCGTCTGGACACAAGCATGCGTCCGGACACAAGCATGCGTCCGGACACAAGCATGCGTCCGGACACAAGCATGCGTCCGGACACAAGCATGCGACCGGACACAAGCATGCGTCCGGACACAAGCATGCGATCGGACACAAGCATGCGTCCGGACTCAAGCATGCGTCCGGACACAAGCATGCGACCGGACTCAAGCATGCGTCCGGACACAAGCATGCGTCCGGACTCAAGCATGCGACCGGACTCAAGCATGCGTCCCGACACAAGCATGCGACCGGACACAAGCATGCGTCCGGACACAAGCATGCGTCCGGACACAAGCATGCGACCGGACACAAGCATGCGTCCGGACTCAAGCATGCGTCCGGACACAAGCATGCGTCCGGACACAAGCATGCGTCCGGACACAAGCATGCGTCCGGACACAAGCATGCGTCCGGACACAAGCATGCGACCGGACACAAGCATGCGTCCGGACACAAGCATGCGTCCGGACACAAGCATGCGACCGGACACAAGCATGCGTCCGGACACAAGCATGCGATCGGACACAAGCATGCGTCCGGACTCAAGCATGCGTCCGGACACAAGCATGCGACCGGACTCAAGCATGCGTCCGGACACAAGCATGCGTCCGGACACAAGCATGCGACCGGACTCAAGCATGCGTCCGCACACAAGCATGCGTCTGGACACAAGCATGCGACCGGACACAAGCATGCGTCCGGACACAAGCATGCGTCCGGACACAAGCATGCGTCCGGACACAAGCATGCGACCGGACACAAGCATGCGTCCGGACTCAAGCATGCGTCCGGACACAAGCATGCGTCCGGACACAAGCATGCGTCCGGACACAAGCATGCGTCCGGACACAAGCATGCGTCCGGACACAAGCATGCATCCGGACACAAGCATGCGACCGGACTCAAGCATGCGTCCGGCACAAGCATGCGACCGGACACAAGCATGCGTCCGGACACAAGCATGCGTCCGAACGCAAGCATGCGTCCGGACACAAGCATGCGTCCGGACACAAGCATGCGTCCGGACACAAGCATGCGACCGGACTCAAGCATGCGTCCGGACACAAGCATGCGTCCGGACACAAGCATGCGTCCGGACACAAGCATGCGACCGGGCACAAGCATGCGTCCGGACACAAGCATGCGTCCGGACACAAGCATGCGTCCGGACACAAGCATGCGAATAGACACAAGCATGCGTCCAGACACAAGCATGCGTCCGGACACAAGCATGCGTCCGGACACAAGCATGCGTCCGGACACAAGCATGCGTTCGGACTCAAGCATGCGTCCGGACACAAGCATGCGTCCGGACACAAGCATGCGTCCGGACACAAGCATGCATCCGGACACAAGCATGCGACCGGACTCAAGCATGCGTCCGGACACAAGCATGCGTCCGGACACAAGCATGCGTCCGGACACAAGCATGCGACTGGACACAAGCATGCGTCCGGACACAAGCATGCGTCCGGACACAAGCATGCGACCGGACTCAAGCATGCGTCCGGACACAAGCATGCGACCGGACTCAAGCATGCGTCCAGACACAAGCATGCGTCCGGACACAAGCATGCGACCGGACACAAGCATGCGTCCGGACACAAGCATGCGACCGGACTCAAGCATGCGTCCGGACACAAGCATGCGTCCGGACACAAGCATGCGACCGGACTCAAGCATGCGTCCGGACACAAGCATGCGTCCGGACACAAGCATGCGACCGGACACAAGCATGCGCCCGGACACAAGCATGCGACCGGACTCAAGCATGCGACCGGACTCAAGCATGCGTCCCGACACAAGCATGCGTCCGGACACAAGCATGCGTCCGGACACAAGCATGCGACCGGACTCAAGCATGCGTCCGGACACAAGCATGCGTTCGGACACAAGCATGCGTCCGGACACAAGCATGCGACCGGACTCAAGCATGCGTCCGGATACAAGCATGCGTCCGGACACAAGCATGCGTCCGGACACAAGCATGCGACCGGACACAAGCATGCGTCCGGACACAAGCATGCGTCCGGACACAAGCATGCGTCCGGACGCAAGCATGCGTCCGGACACAAGCATGCGTCCGGACACAAGCATACATCCGGACACAAGCATGCGACCGGACACAAGCATGCGTCCGGACACAAGCATGCGACCGGACACAAGCATGCGTCCAGACACAAGCATGCGTCCTGACACAAGCATGCGTCCGGACAGAAGCATGCGACCGGACACAAGCATGCGTCCGGACATAAGCATGCGTCCGGACACAAGCATGCGACCGGACTCAAGCATGCGTCCGGACACAAGCATGCGTCCTGACACAAGCATGCGTCCGGACAGAAGCATGCGACGGGACACAAGCATGCGTCCGGACATAAGCATGCGTCCGGACACAAGCATGCGTCCGGACACAAGCATGCGTCCGGACACAAGCATGCGTCCGGCCAGAAGCATGCGACTGGACACAAGCATGCGTCCGGACATAAGCATGCGTCCGGACACAAGCATGCGACCGGACTCAAGCATGCGTCCGGACACAAGCATGCGTCCTGACACAAGCATGCGTCCGGACAGAAGCATGCGACAGGACACAAGCATGCGTCCGGACACAAGCATACGTCCGGACACAAGCATGCGACCGGACACAAGCATGCGTCCGGACACAAGCATGCGACCGGACACAAGCATGCGTCCAGACACAAGCATGCGTCCTGACACAAGCATGCGTCCGGACAGAAGCATGCGACCAGACACAAGCATGCGTCCGGACATAAGCATGCGTCCGGACACAAGCATACGACCGGACTCAAGCATGCGTCCGGACACAAACATGCGTCCTGACACAAGCATGCGTCCGGACAGAAGCATGCGACGGGACACAAGCATGCGTCCGTACATAAGCATGCGTCCGGACACAAGCATGCGTCCGGACACAAGCATGCGTCCGGCCAGAAGCATGCGACCGGACACAAGCATGCGTCCGGACATAAGCATGCGTCCGGACACAAGCATGCGACCGGACTCAAGCATGCGTCCGGACACAAGCATGCGTCCTGACACAAGCATGCGTCCGGACAGAAGCATGCGACGGGACACAAGCATGCGCCCGGACATAAGCATGCGTCCGGACACAAGCATGCGTCCGGACACAAGCATGCGTCCGGACACAAGCATGCGTCCGGACACAAGCATGCGACCGGATTCAAGCATGCGTCCGGCACAAGCATGCGACCGGACACAAGCATGCGTTCGGACTCAAGCATGCGTCCGGACACAAGCATGGGTCCGGACACAAGCATGCGTCCGGACACAAGCATGCATCCGGACACAAGCATGCGACCGGACTCAAGCATGCGTCCGGACACAAGCATGCGTCCGGACACAAGCATGCGTCCGGACACAAGCATGCGACTGGACACAAGCATGCGTCCGGACACAAGCATGCGTCCGGCCAGAAGCATGCGACCGGACACAAGCATGCGTCCGGCCAGAAGCATGCGACCGGACACAAGCATGCGTCCGAACATAAGCATGCGTCCGGACACAAGCATGCGACCGGACTCAAGCATGCGTCCGGACACAAGCATGCGTCCTGACACAAGCATGCGTCCGGACAGAAGCATGCGACGGGACACAAGCATGCGTTCGGACATAAGCATGCGTCCGGACACAAGCATGCGTCCGGACACAAGCATGCGTCCGGACACAAGCATGCATCCGGACACAAGCATGCGACCGGACTCAAGCATGCGTCCGGCACAAGCATGCGACCGGACACAAGCATGCGTCCGGACACAAGCATGCGTCCGAACGCAAGCATGCGTCCGGACACAAGCATGCGTCCGTGTCAGATTATTATGGCTGATGCATGTTTGTAGGCTATAGTGGGGTAGCACTTATGGGGTACAGTTTGCTAGGGTTGTATTTGTACCCAACTCTGACTTAGTCAATTCATTCCTGTTCTGTTAGTTTCACATGGTATAGAGCGGGTCCCTCCTAAGGACCGTTCTTTGGGCCCACCCACGATTTTTTTTTTTCCTGCCCGGAGCGCGCCCTATTCTCCCCGAGGCGCGCTCCCCCTAGTGCGCGTCGAGCTGCCCTTGTGGCGCCCCGAGAGTCGCGCGCGCGACTCATTTTTTTTTCGCGCGCGCGGCCCAGGCCCCACTTCGCGCGGCCCTTACAGCCGCGCCGCGCCGCCCTCTCTGCTCTGCCGCGCCGCGCCGCCCTCCAGACGGCCGCGCGGCCTCTTCGTCGCTGCAGCAGGCCCCCCCCCCCCCGCTGCACCTCTGTCGGCCCCGCAGCCGCCTTACCTGACGGCCGCCGCCTCACCTGACGGCCCGCCGCCTCGACTTCTGGCCCGCCACCTCACCAGACGGCCCTGCCGCCTCACCTGACGGCCCACCGTCTCACCTGCTGGCCCGCCACCTTACCTGACGGCCCCGCCGCCTCACCTGACGGCCCGCCGCCACCTTACCTGACGGCCCCGCCGCCTCACTTGACGGCCCGCCGCCTCACCTACTGGCCCGCCACCTGACCTGACGGCCCCGCCGCCTCACCTGACGGCCCGCCGCCTGACCTGCTGGCCCGCCACCTCACCTGACGGCCCGCCGCCTCACCCGCTGGCCCGCCACCTGACCTGACGGCCCCGCCGCCTCACCTGCTGGCCCGCCACCTGACCTGACGGCCCCGCCGCCTCACCCGACGGCTCGCCACCTCACCTGCTGGCCCGCCACATGACGGCTCCGCCGTCCCCTGTCCCGGCCCCGCAGCTGCACCCTGACGGCCCCGCCGAGCCGCCCAGCAGCAGCCGAGCCGCCCAGCCGCAGCCGAGCCGCCCAGCAGCAGCTGAGCCGCCCAGCAGCAGCCGCGCCGCCCAGCAGCAGCCGAGCCGCCCAGCCGCAGCCGAGCCGCCCAGCAGCAGCCGAGCCGCCCAGCCGCAGCCGAGCCGCCCAGCAGCAGCTGAGCCGCACAGCAGCAGCCGAGCCGCCCAGCAGCAGCCGAGCCGCCCGGTACCCGTGCCGCCCGAGCCGCCCGACCCAGCCCGAGCTGCCTGCTGCTGTCCTACCCGACTCTCCTAGCCCGGTGAGACTTTCAGCTGCTGCCATGGCCACCCCCAATGTTCTTACTTTTGACGCTGAGGGGAGGGCCATTGACTTTGCCGTCTGGATTGAAGACCCGCAGCTGTACTTACTGTGTGATGCGATAGATGAGGTCTCTCTCTTTGACTTTGTCTCTGGCACTGTCCCTGCCCCGCCTGCTGATGCTGACTCTGCTGCTCGCTCCAAGTGGGCGACCCGCGATGCTGCTGCACGTCTTGCTGTGCGTCGCCACCTCCCTTCCTCTAAGCGTGCCCACTTTAGTCAGTGCAAGACCGCTCAGGCCTTGTACGACGCTGTAGTTGCACGCTACTCCTCCCCTTCCTCCGCTACCCTTAGCCGCCTCATGCTACCGTTTCTCTTCCCTGACCTCGCTTCCTTTCCCACTGTTGCTGACCTCGTTACCCACCTCCGCGCTAGTGACACCCGCTACCGCGCTGCCCTTCCTGCTGAGTTCCGCGCTGCCAACCCTCCTCCCATGTACATCACTCTCTACTTTCTCGTCACCCGTCTCCCTGAGTCCCTTCGTGTCGTTAGGGACCAGTTTCTCTCTGTCTGTCCCACCACTCTCACTGTCGACCTCCTTGAGGAGTCCCTGCTAGCGGCTGAGAAGAGTATTGTCGCTGTAGGGGCCTCTCGGGGTGACCCTCGCACCCCCATCTTTGAGGGGTGTGGTCCTTCCCCCCTGCTGCCCTCTGTAGCCTCTGCCGCTGCGGCCGACCTCGCTGGTTTTGAGTCGGTCGGCGCGGCGTCTGCCCCCAGCGGCAGACGCCGCTCTGGCAAGGGCAAGGGGGGCAAGGGAGCGGGTGGAGCTAGAGGGGGCGGTGGAGGAGGCGGTGGGGGTGGAGGGGGGAGTGGGGGTGGCGGTGGGGGTGGTGGCGGGAGTGGAGGTACTGGTGGCGGCGGTGGAGGCGGAGGTGGCGGTGGAGGTGGTAGCGGAGGAGGCGGTGGGAGCGGTGGGAGCGACGGTCCTGGTGGGGGAGGTGGCGGTGGAGACGGGGGTGGCGGTGGAGGCGGGGGTGGCGGTGGAGGCGGGGGTCGGAGTGGCTCGTCCCAGCGGAGCAGCTCTGGGGGTGGTCAGCGCCAGCAGCAGCAGCAGCAGCAGCAGCAGCACCAGCAGCCGCAGCAGCAGCAGCGCTCTCGCACCGTCCCCGGCCCTCAGCAGCTCCGTGAGTGGTACTTGCAGCGTCAGCGCGGTGGTGCGCTTGGTCCCTGCCCCTACGTTCTTCGCACCGGTGACCGTGCAGGGGAGAGGTGTGGAGGCGCCCACACAGCCCGTCGCTGCTTTGGCCGCCTGACCGACGCCTGGCGTCAGCAGTTTCCGGAGGCCGCTGAGATCCCCCGCTGGGGAGAGCTGTCTAGGGCTGGAGTAGCTATTTATGATCTTGACTTTGATGCTATTCTCTCTGCTATGTATGCTGTGACTGGTAGTGATGAGGATGACTGTTACCGGTGTTTCCCGCCCGACCCGGGCATTGGTACTGCCGCGTCAGGTACTAGTGAGGCTGCTGCTCTAGGTGCCAGTACGTCTGTGCGCTCAGGTGCTGGTGAGTCCGCCCTCTCAGGTACTGTGTCGGCTTCGGCCTCTCACACCTTCACCCTTGACTCTGGAGCTTCTCGCTCCTTCTTTAGGGACCGCACCACTCTCACGCCGCTGAGTCGACCGGTTGCGTCTGGCTGACCCCTCTGGGGGACCTGTCCTGTCTCGCTTCTCCACTGTCCTCCCGTGTCCGGCGGCCCCCTCTGGCACCCTGACTGGTCTCTACCTCCCCTCGTTCTCGACGAACTTGGTGAGTGGTGCTGACCTCCAGGATGCAGGTGTCCACCAGTTCACCCCTGCTCGTCAGCGGGTGACCCACTGTACGGAGGCGGATACAGGTCGTCACCTGGCTACGTTTACACGTCGGCCAGGGTCAAGCCTGTACACACTGACCACTACTTCTCCTCCAGGTACTGCGTCTGGTAGGGTCCCCTCGTCTGGTCAGGTGTTTTCTGCAGCGTCCAGGTCTGGTCCTGAGTCTGCCCCCTGTTTGTGTCGTCGTCTGTCTCACGAGACCCTCCTCTGGCACCACCGCCTTGGCCACCCCTCTCTGCTCCGGCTCAGAGGCATGGCCTCACGGGTACTTGTGTCTGGTCTTCCCCAGTCCCTCCCTCCCTTTCCTCCGGGCCCTGGCCCTGCCTGTGTCCCCTGTGTCGAGGGGCGCCAGCGTGCTGCCCCTCACTCCTCCCAGTTTCCTCCGACAGAGGCCCCGTTGCAGACGCTTCACATGGACGTGTGGGGCCCAGCCCGCGTCCGTGGACAGGGTCAGGAGCGCTACTTCCTGCTGGTGGTTGACGACTACTCGCGTTACACCACAGTCTTCCCTTTGCGCAGCAAGGGTGAGGTCACTGCGGTGTTGATCGACTGGATCCGCGCAGCTCGTCTCCAGCTTCGGAGGAGCTTTGGCTCTGACTTCCCTGTTTTGCGTCTGCACTCGGACAGAGGCGGAGAGTTCTCCTCTGGCCTCCTGAGTGCCTACTGTCGTGCGCGAGGCATCCGTCAGACCTTCACGCTTCCGGACTCACCACAGCAGAATGGGATTGCTGAGCGCCGCATTGGCATGGTCATGGACGTCGCTCGTACGTCCATGATGCATGCAGCTGCTCCCCATTTTCTGTGGCCGTTTGCGGTCAGGTACGCTGCGCACCAGATCAACCTCCACCCCAGGGTCTCTCGACCGGAGACCTCCCCAGCCCTGCTGTGGACGGGGAAGGTTGGCGATGCGTCGGCGTTCCGGGTCTGGGGATCTCGGGCGTTTGTTCGCGACCTGACTGCGGACAAGCTGTCCCCTCGTGCTTCTCCCTGCGTCTTCCTGGGGTTCCCCCCCGACGCCCCTGGGTGGCAGTTTTACCACCCCACCTCTCGACGTGTTCTGTCCTCCCAGGACGTCACGTTCGACGAGTCGGTACCCTACTACCGCCTCTTCCCCTACCGCACTCCGTCCCTCCCCCCTCCCCCGCTCTTCTTGGTACCAGGTCCCCCCCCGGTAGTCCCCCTCCCCCCTCAGGGTCCTGCCCCTTCAGGTGTGTCCCAGGTAGACGCGGTCGAGCCTGTCGAGGTCACTGGTGACTCTGGTGCTGCTGCGGGAGCTGAGCCTGGAGGTGCGGAGTCTGGGGGTGCTGAGCCTGGGGGTGCTGTGCCTGGGGGTGCTGAGTCTGGGGGTGCTGAGCCTGGGGGTGCTGTGCCTGGGGGTGCTGAGTCTGGGGGTGCTGAGCCTGGGGGTGCTGAGCCTAGGGGTGCTGAGCCTGGGGGTGCTGAGCCTGGGGGTGCTGAGCCTGGGGGTGCTGAGCCTGGGGGTACTGTGCCTGGGGGTGCTTCGTCTCGCCGGGAGCCACTCTCCCCACAGGAGCTGCGTGAGTGGTTTACCAGGCGCTGGAGGCGTGCTGCTGGTGCTGGTGGTTCTTCGCCTGCAGTAGGTACTGCTGCCGCGCGTCCCGACGGTGCTCGTACTGTGGGTGCTGGAGCTGCTCGGTCTGAGGGTTCTCCTGGAGCTGGTGCTGCTGAGGGTGTTGGCGCTGAGCCTGCCGCTGGTGGTCCGACTGACAGTGCTCCTGGTGCTGCTACTGGGGGTTCTGGAGCTTCTGGAGGTGCTGCTGGAGGTGCTGCTGGCGTGGGTGCTCCTGACGGGGTGGCTGGTGCTGTTCCTGCTGTTTCTGGTGTCGCCGTGCGGCCCCGACCGTACTTCGTTCCGCTCCTGCAGCAGGTTCTTAGTCTTGCACCTCCTCCTGCTCCCTTAGAGGGTCCACAGCCTGTTCGGTCACAGCCACAGCTACAGCCTGCCTCCCCTTTGCCTGCTCCTTCTCCCTACGCTGGTCCGACTGGAGGTCTTACTGAGCGTCGTGAGCCTGCGTCTCGTCCTGCGTCGCCTGTTCGTACTGAGCGCGCTAGTGGTCGCGGGTCGCGTCAGCGTCCTCCTCCTGTCCCTGGCACGCACCGGATGTCACTGCGTCCGTCCACTGCTCCTCTGCGTGCCCCTTTGCCTTCTCCTCCTCCTTCCTCTCTTCCTGCTCTTGCCGACCCGGAGTCGGACTCTCTTCGTGCTGCCAGTCCTACTGTCACGCGTCTCCTTGCTACTGCTGTCACTGACCCTTCCTTCGAGTCGTCTGCTGCGTCTGCCCTTGTCACTGAGCTTGTCGACTTTGCTGCGCGCTGTCGTCTAGACTACGCTGCTCGTCTTGTCGCTGAGTCTGAGTCCGCCTGTCCTCCGTCCGTCGGGGGTGAGTGTGCCCTTGGCACGGACGTCCTAGAGGACAGGCAGGAGGAGTTACAGTGTCTAGCGGCTGCTTCACCTCATCTCGCGTCTGTACTGCTTGCCCCTGAGGGAGACCCGGATGCACTAGACATCCCGACTCCGCGTTCTTACGCGGAGGCCGTAGAGGGTCCCTACTCCTCTCAGTGGCAGGCAGCTATGGATGCAGAGATGGCTTCCTGGAAGTCCACAGGCACCTACGTTGACGCGGTTCCCCCTCCTGGGGCGAACATCGTCAGTGGCATGTGGATCTTCAGGGTGAAGCGGCCGCCGGGCTCCCCGCCTGTCTTCAAGGCGCGTTACGTGGCTCGTGGCTTCAGTCAGCGGCAGGGAGTTGACTACTTTCAGACCTTCTCTCCCACCCCGAAGATGACCACTCTTCGGGTGCTGCTGCACATTGCCGCTCAGCGCGACTACGAGCTTCACTCTCTCGACTTCAGCACTGCGTTCCTGCAGGGTAGCCTGCACGAGGAGATCTTGCTGCGCCGTCCGCCTGGCTTCACTGGGACTTTCCCTCCTGGCACCCAGTGGAGCCTCCGACGGCCAGTCTACGGTCTCCGCCAGGCACCGCGTGAGTGGCACGACACACTGAGGACTACGCTTGCGGCTCTTGGGTTTGCTCCTTCTACTGCTGACCCGTCGCTGTTTCTTCGCACCGACACTTCCCTGCCGCCGTTCTACATCCTCGTGTACGTCGACGACTTGGTCTTTGCCACAGCGGACACTGCTGGACTCGCCTACGTGAAGTCCGAGCTGCTGAAGAGACACACGTGCACAGACCTGGGTGAACTGCGCAGCTACCTTGGCTTGCAGATCACTCGGGACAGAGCACGTCGCACCATTACCCTGACTCAGTCACACATGGTGCAGCAGGTCCTTCAGCGCTTCGGCTTCACGTACTCCTCGCCTCAGGCCACTCCTCTGCCTACTCGCCACTCACTCTCAGCTCTGCCTTCGGATGAGTCCGTAGAGTCGAGTGGTCCGTATGCAGAGCTTGTTGGCTGCCTCATGTACCTGATGACCTGCACACGACCTGACCTTGCATACCCTCTGAGCATTCTTGCACGCTATGTTGCTCCTGGGAGACACAGACCGGAGCACATGGCTGCAGCGAAGAGGGTATTGCGCTACCTGTGCAGTACGTCGGGCATGGGGCTAGTGCTTGGAGGGCGGAGTCCAGTGGTCCTTACCGGCCACGCGGACGCTTCTTGGGCTGACGACCAGGCTACGCAGCGGTCGTCACAGGGTTACACCTTCAGCCTTGGTTCCGGTTCTGTCTCGTGGCGGTCTACTCGCTCGTCTTCAGTTCTCGGCTCCAGTTGTGAGGCTGAGATCTACGCCGGGGCCATGGCTGCACAGGAGCTTCGCTGGCTCACCTACCTGCTGACCGACCTTGGAGAGCCGCCTCGTTCTCCTCCAGTGCTGTACGTAGACAACAAGGCCATGCTGGCCTTGTGTCGAGAGCAGCGCTTGGAGCACAGAACGAAGCACATTGCTCTCCGCTACTTCCTTGCTCGTGAGCTGCAGCAGCGTGGTCAGTTGCGACTTGCTTACGTGGCCTCTGAGGCCAACACTGCTGATGTGTTCACCAAGGCACTTGCGCCTTGTGACCATCAGCGCTTTTGTACCCAGCTGGGTCTTGTACCTGTCTTGCCTCACTTGCTCTCTTCTTGACTTTACTTGTACTTTGTTATATATATGTCTGTACTCCTGCATGTGAACTGGCCTCTGGCCCTGCTCTTGTGCTCGGACTGTGTGGTGACTTTGTGATCCACCCTGAGCTTGCTTTGCTTTGCTTTGCTTGACTGGTCTTGTGACCCCTTGTTCTCCCCCACTTTGCCTATGGGGGTGTGTCAGATTATTATGGCTGATGCATGTTTGTAGGCTATAGTGGGGTAGCACTTATGGGGTACAGTTTGCTAGGGTTGTATTTGTACCCAACTCTGACTTAGTCAATTCATTCCTGTTCTGTTAGTTTCACAGTCCGGACACAAGCATGCGTCCGGACACAAGCATGCGACCGGACTCAAGCATGCGTCCGGACACAAGCATGCGTCCGGACACAAGCATGCGTCCGGACACAAGCATGCGACCGGGCACAAGCATGCGTCCGGACACAAGCATGCGTCCGGACACAAGCATGCGTCCGGACACAAGCATGCGACTAGACACAAGCATGCGTCCAAACACAAGCATGCGTCTGGACACAAG